ACATTTTGCCCAGAACACCCTAAGCGAGACCAAAATCCGAAATTTACACCCCTAAGCGAGACGACGAGCATCCCCGTCCATTCCATATGGGAGTCCCCCTCCCCCCCGGGTTATGTACGCAACTTGAAAAGTGGCGAAAATAAAGCCTGAAACAAGATCAGGCTTGAAAGGGATCAGTCTTAAAAGTATATTGCAGGCTCGCAAAGTGACTGCTTCTCTGTGCTAGAGGTTTAGAGTGCTACACCTTTTTCGCAGAGGTGAAGAATTTATTTCCCTTTCAAGCCGAATTTTTTCAGGCTATCTTTCGGAACTGCTTAGTTGTGCATAGCTGCGATAGTTCCATGTATTTTAAAAGAACTTTCACCCGTAGTTCCAATGTACGACATTTCATTTATTCACTCCATCTTCAAGGCAGATGACATCCTTCACCCCCTCCCAAGTTGTTTGAGACAGTTGTTCAGTCTTTTCCTCCGAACCCGTGGTGATGAAATGTATTTCCTTGTAATGTTCTCTGTGGATATGTTATCGACTGGAGTGTTGAAAGAAACAGTTTTTTTTTCACATCTCCATTGCACCCCACCCTCCACCCTTAAGGAGGCCGTACCTGAAAGTGGTGATGTTTTGCAACTCTTTCAGTGACTCTTCTCTTTTTAACCGGCTATCTTGGATGTGATGGTATATTTAATTACAGCTCTTTCAGCAGCTCTTTTTCCAACCCAAGATAGTTACCTCTGTGGTTTTTCGCCGATGCCTCTTTGAGGTTAAATTGTGTTTTATCTCAATAAAGAGGTTTTCTCCCCTCCCTTCAATGAGCCATTTGAGTTAGTTAGAGTACACGCACAATTGCCATACCTCCTGGGGCCCGTCTGTCGAAAGCCCCGGAAAGTTTTCGGGCCCGTAAAGCCATTTTTAGTTCATCTGTATCTAAAAACGGAGAACTGTATACACCTGAAACCTCTTGTATGAAGGGAACCTCTCTTCATATTAAGAATATGTGAATAAAGCAACTCTGTAATCATAAGTTTCGAGATTTTGCTATGGCTTTCCGGGTGCGAAAACTTTTCGGGACCTTCGAGAAACGGGCCCCTGGTCTCCTTAATAAATATGGCGGATGCATTTCTTCATGTTAAAGCAATTCAATTTTTTTTGTACTTTAGGACTTTGAAGACTTTGCTGCCATTTCCAGAAGTGAGAAGTGGAACAAATGACATGTTTTAGCTGGTACCTCACTCTTGAATATTAATATATTTTATATGCATACGGAAGTCTCCATGACTGCAAGAGATGACTTCGCCCTCACGCAGACTTACAATTAATTATACTTTTGCAAACGTATTCTGTTTCGGGTTACGGACGTAAGTTGTTAAGTGTATGACTGGTTTGTTTATTAATTAGTAGTTAAAGGGATATTATCTTGCAATGACATTTAGGATTAGAAACATAGTGATAACGAAGAAACATGATAATGATGTATGGAAATGTTTACAATTTTAAATATCTCCACGGTATGTAAATTTTCAGTTTGCTTTCACGCGCTGTTTTGCAGAAGATGATACCTTAATGATATGACCTCGATGTAATATAAAGGTAACGCTCGTAAGTAATTTGGCATAACTAAACTACCAAGCTTAAAAGTCTGCTCATTTGCGAGTAAGGACAGTAATAATACATATGTGCTTCTTTTCCATGAAAATTCTTTCAAAGAAGTATCACCGCATACAATGTATTTATAGCACGATACGATATGACAAGACCTAGCATTTGATATGGCACGCTTCTCACAAATTTATTGCAGTAGTTAACTTGAAGGGCAGGACAAAAGCTCTAAGATGTGAGACTGAATTTCATAGAACAACAAGATTTTTATATCTCTCTAGTATTGTTTATAACCTACATTTACACTTGTGCACTGAAGTGTAGCCGCGATGATAACATTTGTAGGAGGCATCGTAATAAAGTCTGCCACCTACAAATAACTAGCGTGGTAATGAGCGGTCCTCAACGTTCCTCGTTAAACTAAGACACAGTAATCGTACGTAACTAAAGAATCACTCAGATAGGGCGGCGATGAACCAATCGGAGTAAAACCTTGGAAGCTCACGGTGGAAATTGTTTGGATCACTGTTGGTTTAATTTTCGGTAATTGATTAGTTCACATCTTTGTTGTTGTTGTTTACAACACGTTGGCGAGTATTTTCAACCCAGGGTATATCTCGACTACAGCAAAACCAGAGAAACACAAGATTTAAGGAACAGTTGAAAATCGCTCTACACCAAAACACTTTTTAATGTATCTGTTTATATGTATGGAACAACAATTAACAATGGGTCAGTAAGAAAAAAAAACTTTTAGTCGAGGGTAGTTTAAGAGTTTAATTTTTTTTACGTTCTTTTTTATACTTTGTTTCAAAAGCGTTAAGTCACACAAGTATTCACGTATTCAAATTATTCATGAGTTCTTTTTTTACTATGTCTTTGTATCATGCTTTGGATTAGGTCAGGTTTTACAACTCGAACAAAAGTACAAGAATATTTGATTAAGGATGAAAACGATAAGCATTTATTTCATATTTATTGGAACCTTACGTGATCTCGTGAATTTACTCGCGCTGTAAATAAGAGATTTGCTCGGCGCGCTAAAGTGGCGTGGTGCTGCTTTCGTGGAATAGTATTCTGTACGGTAATTACTGTGAAGAAATTTTGTAAAATGGCTGTTATTTGCTGAAGAATGAACTATTTGATAGAGATTTGAAATATGATGTATTGGATATGAGAAATATAAAATAAAGGAAAGATTATGGTACGCGTATGTTGTTTTGCAACCAATTATCACAACAAACAAGAAATGCTAACTGAATATTCTGTTCATGGCTGCCTCGTGATCAGTTGTTAGCAGCAAAAGTGCTAAATATCCAGAGAGGCTGGTTTTATGATCCAAGTTAACCTTTGAAGGTAAAAACAGTCAGCAGGCTGACTTTATGCTCTTGGGTTTCAGTTTAATGTGTATAGACCAACAAATTGCAAATGACTGGTCATTTGTGGCTTATAAGAGGTTGGGACGGGGGAAGTGGAGGGGAGGGGCTGTATTTGTAGCATATAACGGAGTCAAACAAAACCAAAACAAATTTGATTGCCCTTTTATTGACCTCTTAGAGGAATCTTCATCAGTATGGCTATCACTTTACATGGTGTTCACTTATTTCCACGCAAACCAACCTCTAGACTTAGTGTTTCCCAACCCTAGTTGCTAGTAATGATATATTATATCGCTAAGCTCATATCAGTTTTATCCGATCAAGAGATTTAGGAACTAAATAAAAAAAAAACCTGACAACAATGGCACCAAAATCTCCAAATTCCAATTCGACCAGCTAAGGTCAAATCAGTTAAGGTTAATGTGGCTTCCTCTCTACTTTAAAGGTGAGTAAATGTCTGATACTGCCTATTTACAATTTCAAACCGATTAAGACAGTCTTTCAAAAGTAAGTTCTACATTTATGAGAAACACTTCGCGTCAACCCTTCCTTGTTTTGTTTCCATTTCAAAGCCGACCACAAGCAGCGATTTTATGACAAAAACGATCCCGTATAACCTAATCCTGCAAAATAACATAATGATAGCCACAAAACACCTACAGCAAGGTTCTTCAACATCGATTGGTGGTCCTTAGGAATCAGAAAGGAGCTGATGTCAACTGTGAGATGAAACAAGTGATAAGACAAGAAAAGATAAACAATGGTGGCAAAAGCGAAATTAAGCAAAGGGTATCCTGGTATGAAAGCAATCAGAAACTTAGCATTGCCTTGGAGATAAACATGCAACTGGGAGATGTACGTTTCTAGTGTGATTTTTCCCAGCCACGTGAACATGTAAAAGTAGTGCCGCCGAAACAACGGGAACATATTGCGTAGAAATATGAAGGATAACAAAGGAATGAAGGAAAAATAAGGGTGGAGTTTGTTATACTGGTATTTGTCCAATACAAAGATGTGTCGAACCCAAAAAGAGAGGGAGGTGAGGCACACTAAAGCGATTCCAAACCGTATTGCTGTTCGCTTTGCCGACGACTTCTCATCTAGATATCCCATGAGCCTCTCAAAATTAGGATGGTGGTAAGCACAGAGCATGCCCAGAAGAGTCGCATAATGATCAAGTCCTGCTCTAAACATCCACTCGTGGAGAGAATTCTCATAGTTCAAGATGAAGCCCAAGGGTTTAAAAACGATTTCTCCAACACCTGGCACGTCAAACAATAGAAAGACGATAAGAAAATATATCGTAAACTTTACAGCCATCTTTTGTGGGTCCTCGTTCCAACTGTTCAGCAGTCTCATGAAGCAGTAGGCTGATAAGAACCAGAAGGTGTGCATAGGACAGATGTAGTATAACATGTACTCATTGCGCACCACCAAGCACGTGATCACCACAAGGAAATTGAGGCGAAAAAGCATTTTAAGGACTCGGTAGAGACTGAAGTCTTTTTTAACCCAGAAAAAGGAGAAATTACCTGAAAAGATAAAGGAGCACAATACATTTTACCGCCAGCAAAATATAATAAAAAAATATAACTTGATTTAAGCTTAAAACAGTTTAATTCGTGTTAAACATATAAGAAAACACAGTGAAAACTGACATATATACTCCAGACTAAGTAAAGCAATATCAGTACTGCGAACCCTAGAGGGCTATCCTTTCTTTCAGCCTCGAAAATTGCAATTCTTGAACGCGAATTTTTATCGCGATTATTTTTAAACTGATTTCACTTTCCTTTCAACAAAATATTAAGGTCCCTTGAATACATTGGATGTTGACAATTCTGGGGCAAGCTTCCTTGTGTCACCTTCAGCCCGTCCTGACTAATTTAATAACAAGAATCTAGTGTTCGCATCGGGTCTTGTAATCGCCGCACACACGCGCAAAGTTCTTCGACACGTTGCGTACCGTGCAATGTCAGTGGAACTGTAGATGTAGACAATCGAATGAATTGATCACAAAAAGGACTTCGTTTCAAGAGACTACAAACGTTCAGCTGTTTTGTACGAGTGGACAAATTAAAACAATACTGACGTGCCAACCGTAATGGTTATCACCGATTAACAATGTTCCTCTCCCTACCCAGCAGTCAAAATTAAAATAAAGGGAGTTACTTACCGAAGCCAGTCATCCAAACGTAAGCTGCAATGAACACCCTTACAGCGTTGTAAGTCTCCGCAGCTTTGAAATAGTGATACCAAACGAACATGACTTGCATCCAGCCTTTCCACTCCTCTGTCTGCTCTCGGTTTAATATCTTGTCTGGAGTCTCCTTCCTAGTCAATCCAGCGGCTACAGCCACAAGAAGCAGGACCAGAAACCAAAACAGATCACGTGAATAAGTGCGCTCAGTGGCGAGAAAATAGTGATTGTCATCGCAAAGATAGTACACGAACATAATGACTCCAAATATAGCCACACTTTGCAGGAAATGATCGAGAGATGGTCTGACGGCAGTGGATGTTTGAGATGTCGGCTTGCCTGGTACACTGTTATCTTGACCAATGTTACGTTCTTTTTCACGCTCGTTGACGAGTACAACCTTTTGATGTGGTATCTCACCGTTTTCTACTATTCCAAGGCGAGCTTCTTCATTATCTTTGGAAGAAAGTAGAACGGAAACCCTAATTAAATTTGTTTAGTACTAGAAAAGGGAGCAACCAAGACGGCATTTGTCGCGAGGTTTCAACTCCCATAGGAACGACAATCAGCTAGGAAACCTTTTAAATCTTTCCTCTCCCCCTCGCTGTCCCGTCCCCAATCAGCACTTGTACGAATTCAAATGCTAAACAATCGAACAAACTAAGTAACCAACATTTAAAGAACGAAAAGCTAAGAAAACGAACATACCTTGATTACCTGACGCGCTATGCCGAAATGCGCTCCGCAAAGATGGAACTTTCAGTAACAACAGAAGTTTTCTAAAAGCCATCAGCGACACTACCGATACCCAAAACACAAAGAGCGCTTTCTGGTGAATGGATAGTGGGCCTTTGGATGGGAGCCATTTTTGCCCTTCCATAGGAGCTCCCTCGCTGTTCATTGTTGATCTGAGAGAACAGGAAGCATCAAAAACTGAACATGGATAATAAGCAAGTAGTAGTAATATGTTAATCAATCAATCAATCAATCAATCAATCAGTCAATCAATTAATCAATCAGTCGCTTTATTAACGTAGTCAGTACGCTTAGCTGCAAGCTACAATCGGCGACATAATTAGTTGACACGTTGTCTTTCAATAGTACTTTTAGTGCAGCAAATAACACGACTCTTTTTACCGCACAGTAAACTGTGGAAAAGACCCCGCTCCCCCATTCGATGTTGCTTGTTTAATTTGTAGCTCAAGTTCACAGCAGTTGCTACACAACATTGTTTGGGGGTCAGGGGGGCTGAAAGGATAAGCTAGGAGGGCAAAAAGGGATCACAGTGACGAAATAGGGGGTTAATAGTGTGAACGTGTCAACAATTTTGTCGCCGATTGTAGTTTCCAGGAACGCCACGGAATAATAAAGTTAAAAATACAAAATAAAAAACTGCCTTGGAAGTGTATAAAGTTAAGATAAACTACAATTAAAAATGAATTACAAATTAAGATAGTTTAGTTACAATACATGTCTAACTAAGTGTAAAATATAAAATTGTCATAAAAATTGTCACACACCTCACTCACTCATAGTCCCGTGAGATTTATTGACGTGATGTGTTTTTGGTCGAGAATAAGCTCGTATAACAATATGTAATTATGATCTTCTTAAGTGTACGGTTAAATGTCCACAGGAAAGGCCCACAAAATTAACAGGGTTGTCATTAATTTTTCAGTCACCCGTAGCCTTATTCTCCACACCCATGGCAAATTTGTTACTTTGTGGGTGAGTTCTCTAAACAACAGGGAATTTCACCCGTAGCATCAAGGGAAAATCAAGCATACTCAGCCGTAACAGATGTTACGGCTTACGGCCCTTAATGACAGCCTTGAAATATACTTAAGGAATAACAGGAAAGTAGAGAAACCAAACATTTACCTAAACTATAAACTAAGGTCGAATTCTAGAGAAGTTTTGAGCAGTTCATAGACGCACCTCCAACAATAAGCGACAAAAGTGCTGAGACACTTCGCAGTAAAATTGTATTTTCGAGCGTCTTGGAAACATTTATTCCAACCTCCTCCCCTCCAAATAACGTTGATTTTTCTATTTCTAAGACTGCGTAGACCACAGCTCCTACACAACATTGAATTGGGGGGCCGGGGTATCAGAGAATTAACGCTAGATACATATAAAGTTGAATAAGAGGTTAATTATCGAAAGTCGAAATTTTCTAGATTGCAGTTTGGTTAGTTTCGAATGCGAGAAATTTACTTGCTCTTCTTCCCATACTCACCGTTGAGGCAATTTTATTGGATAACTAGCTAGAGTGTGAAATTAAGAATACACGAAAAAAACCGTTCATATAAACAGGCCAGGTTATACTGATATTCTTTCAAACTTTGTTTATTCCGTTGAGAATTCGAAGCTCCAAATTCTAAATTCGGCAGATCTTTATTATTGATGTGGTCATGCGTTGATTGCTAAAGACACAGTGCGAATACTACTGAAACAAAGAGTTATCACTTCAATTAGTTTGGCAAATTTGCATATGCACCGCTTCATAATAAATGACGCGGCAAAAATTTATTTTGCAGTTTTCCTGACTGTCACTGTTGCCTAAATTTCAGTACAACCTGCGCATTCATCCAGTACTTGTATCAGTTATATGCCGAGACTACTCGAAGTTTGCTGGTTTTTACGACAGCACTGGGCAAACAAGATTTAAGACAATCAGGCCAAGTTCGTGACATGTAAATTAATCTCCAATTTTACAACCTTTCGCCGGTTGAGAAACTTAATTTACCGTCTGCAAGATTTGAAACTCTACCATAATTTAAATCAGTTTTCGCTTGTGAAACATTAAAATTGCGAACACTGAAAACTAAGCAGTGTCTACATTTTTTGGTTTGTGAAGGCTGAAGATTGAAGAGTTAAAAACGTCCGGGCCGATATCCGCAATAATTTTCTAGCGACTTTGTGAGTACTTCTTGTTTACTTCACAGTATATGGCTTGAAAATATAGGTCTTCTGCAGCACAATATTATCAGAGTTGTAAACACTAACCTGAACAGCCCTAAAATTCTCACCGAGCAGATTCACAGTGGATATCTATAGATAAACTTGGAATCTGATGAGTTATGCGGCTGTCTCGGCCTCTTTCGATTGATAGAAAGGTTCAGTATCTATCAAGTGATAGTTGGACAGTCACGGTTCGTCGTTCCAGCAGGCCCGAAGTGGGGAACTGTACTTCTAAGATGTTAATTTTGACAACTCATGAACAGTTGTTCTCAGTTATAAACAGAGAATTCCGATAAAATAACTAATTCTACCTGTGATCAGGAGTATGATTCGTGACCTTATTACATGTCTCTGTCTCACAAGGACTGGGATCTACTAAATTCACGAATTTGATTGGCTAAATTCAATATTGAAGGCGGCCTACATTTTCCCATCCAGACCGGCATCTTAGACCGGTAATGTTTTGCAGTGAAACTAAAATGCGAAATCATTGACTATTTTCTTGTAACAAGATTTATTTATGGAAGTGCTAAACCCCTGACGAAAAAAAAAAAAAAAA